ATAGACCTTTGCTGATATGCATCATTACTCTCTGATTACATCCAATTAACCAAAGGTGCTTTTATTATTTAAAAGAAGGGGATAATTGAATAATGCTCTGCGGGAAACGTGATGCTGAAAAGCAAAGCTTCATCTTTTAATTAGCTGTGTGTGCGGTGAAGCAGCAAAGTTAATCTGAAGATTAGGCTCCAAGCCATCACCAAAATCACCTCCTGGCAGCTTTTCTCCATTTCTGATCAAAGGGTCAACCGTGTGAATCTTGTTCTGCGCGGTCGGGAGGGACACTGGCGACCGCCCAGATCAGTGTACCACGGCCGCCGCTGCTGCTAATCTCTCCCAGCATGGAGTACAATGAGGCTGATGACCTTCCTTTTAGCAGCCTGCATGCTAAGCTCTGAGACTAACCGGAGAAATGACAGTTGCCAGATGAGAAAGTGATGGGTTTAACCAAGCATAGCGAGCTGTGACAAATTCACAGAAAATGTCTCTATGCAGAAGAATTGCAACCATCACATGTAACCAGGGTAACTTCTGTTCACCTTGGTCCTTAACCTGTGTATTTAATGGATTCTACTAAGTGTAAACATCTTCAGGAAACATTTCCTAAAGTTTCCCTAAGCTTTGTCTAAAGGTTAAAGCCATTTTCTGGGAAGATTTCTTATATTTTGCAGCCTGTAGAACCTTGACTTGTTCTCAAACATACATATTTCCTGATTTTTTTTAAGAAAAACTTTTAGAAGTGCTTCCTAAAGGCTCCCCAAAGGTTAGCCTTAACAGCAACAGAACAACAACATGGCAACTTTCACGCTACATCCCTAAGGGTTGCACAGCATATAAAAGAAAACATATTTTATAGGCTTTAGGGAACAATACCTGAAAGTTCTCTATAGCTTACATGGTCTGAGAAATACTCTGCAAGATTTCCATGAAATTCAGTCATAACACTGACAGTTATATTTGCAGAAAATGTAAGATTATCTTAAGGAAACATTCCCCAAAGGTTTCATAAAGGGAAGCTACAGATAAGAGATTGTTAGCTCAACATTGTCTTTAAGGTTTCATATTTTCTGCATGTTGGATAATCTCCAGGGAAAGTTCTCTAAAGATTCCCTGAAGTTACTTTTAATGCTGTCCGTGCAGAATTCTGGACACTAACAGTACATTTTGCATACAGTTTAGGATAAGCTGTGTGTTGAAACCTTGAGAAACCTTCACAGTAATACTGAAAGAGATTTTTCTCTCAGTATGAGGACAGCTTTATTTCCCTGTCTGTGTCAGTGCCATTGCTGGTGTGTCAAATCAGGAAAAATATTTATTAGCCAATTTAAATATTTTGCAATATATCCATCACATATACTCTGTTAACGTGTGATTGCAAACAGAAAAGGCTTGTATTGCTACAGCAAAAGCAGAAGGGATTACCAATAAAGGACTGTTAGGGGAATATTTTCTTCTAAAAGTTTTTTGTACCCTTGGCTGGATGATTAAAAAATATTTGATTACTCTGGACCATAATGACGGTCAGAAAACATTCAGTAAGATATGAAATCTTGTTGTTCTAGAGGCATTTTTATATTTTATTGATGTTTTGCTGAACAAACTTTGACTAATAAAGCATCATATTCACTTTCACTTTATTTTTTAGCAAATAATCCAACATTAAACAACAAGATAACAATATCAAAACAAAACCAACAATTTACCAAAAAAAAAAGGAATAGGCTGAAGCAAAGCTTATTATTGCCTACCCTGTTTTATAATTACAACCTACCAGGTTCTTTACTGCGTATATAAATATTCAAATCTACATAACATAGGATTTTATCATTTTAAATTTTAAAGCCCTTTTAAAATTCACCATAAAAAAGGACATAACTTTAAATCATCATTCAATTCATTCCACATTCTGGCTATCTGGCTGTTCTCTTTTACACATTCAAATATAAACAAACCTCACAAATTACATTTATTCTCTCTTAACTTAAATAATTTCTGAATACCAGAAGGAAGACTTTTGTTCACGGCTTTATGCATTATTTCCAGTATTTTTATATAAACAATGTCTTTGAATTTTAATGTTTTGCTTTGAATGAAGAGTTTATCAGTTGGTTCACGGTATCCCACCTTATTAATAAGCCTTATAGCTTTTTTTGCAACTTAACTAACTTATCAATAATTGTTTTATTTGCATTTCCCCATACTTCTGAACAATAAGACAAATAATTCCTTCATAACTGCATGTAAAGGGAGACCAGCAGAACATTGTGACCCAGCTAAACCTTTAACACAGTCTGGGTAAACTGTGGTAACCTAACAATGACGAGTGGCTATTTTCCTGTGGTTTTACCATCAGCTGCTTCAGCACACAACAAACACGCCAATATCTCAACACTTCTGCATGGGCATTGTTTGCTCCTTCGGTAAAGCTCCTGACAGCAGTGTTTTTTGCACGATAATTCCATGAGTAGAAAGGTAAACACATCTGCCTTGGAAATCACACAAACAATGTGACACCCGTGGCGGCAGAAAAGAGGAATCAAAACAAAAGCAGCAGAAGATGGCCCCAACACCTTTTTCTCAGTTTCTTCCTGTTTGCCAATTTGCGGAGCTGAACAGATCTGCTGGGACACTTTGACCTAATTTCGTTGATAGTTGGTCCCTGATGTTTTATTTCCAGCAAATGCTCTAAAATAAAACACCTTTAGAGTTTCAAGAGTTAGAAATGGTTTGGTAAAATCTCTCTTCAAAATCCAGAGTAAGACTTCTGCAAAAACATCTCACTTTCCCATATGAGATTAACAAAAAAGGCTTTTCTTTCACCTGCAGACCTTTGTACTTATATTCAGTTATGTAACTTCTTGTGTGTTAAACCACACTAATGGGATTACTCGCACAATCTCAGAATAAAAAGGTGGATTTGCTCTGTTAATTATATCATTAGCTTTTGACAGATGAATCTCAGTAACTTAAAATCAACAAGTTTGTTTATGTTAGGATTCAAAAGATGTCACTCAAAATGTTTGTTAAAAAGGAGCTAAAAAGGCATGCTCATGTACTCAAAACTTGGTTGGTGTTTAGTTTGCAGGTTTAACTGATTCTACGTAACTGATAGCATTGAGTGGAGATGATCAGCTTTAGGCAGATGCTTTGAGAAAACAATCAAGTCATCATGGCAACATAATTTAAGGTTGATAAAGTTGCTAAATGTAATTGTCCTCCAGTTAAGGTAGAAACAAAAGGACTTGCTTCTATTTTTCACTTTGTTTAACTAATTAAACTGAGAGGTTAAAAAAAAAGACTTTTCAACAAAAATTTTAAACTCACTCTGTATTCCTCTCTGTGCCCAACATGAAGTACTTCCTATATAAATACTTTTTTGCCATTAATTAATGATATTTAGGCAATCAATGCATCAAACACATCAGGGATTCTCTTTAATTTGAGTTTTTACATGTTTTGGTGTATTCTAAGTACTTATTATTAACTGTAACCAAAAACAAAATGTTATTTTAATGAAAATGAGTTTTTTGTTTAACTTTACAATCATTTTATACTATGATTGTTAATAAATACTTGATGTTGCATCAGAACACAGTCCCTCCATACGTCATTAAATGAATCAGTTTCTTACATTTTGTCATGCTACAACCACAGACTTCTGTTTTTGGGGTTTTTATGTGATAGAACAACAAAAACATTTACATAACTAAGAAGTAGAGAAGAAAACACTAAGTTTTTAAAAAGTATATTTTTAAAAAATCTGAAATATGAAGTAGGACTTTGTATTTAAGCCCTCTGTATTGGAGAACCATTCTTTTCTGCAATTACACCATTAAATCATTTAGGGTATCTTCTTCCAGCTTTCAATGTTTAGGAGCTTAGATTTCTACTCGACATGTTTTGCATTTTGGGTTAAGTTAAGTCAGATCATTTTAAAGTCTTTTATAGATTTTCAGTTGCATGTATATCTGGATTTTGACCAGGCCAATCTAGTACAATGATATATTGAACTAAACCCATATTTAAGGTCATTGGAGTAAACTTCTAGTCCAGTTTTGGTCTTTTTTAGCTTCAAATTGGTTTTCTTTCTAAAAATGTCCAATATTTATCCCATACTTGAGCTCTGACCAGCTCTCCTGTCCACATTCCAGTAAAATATCCCCTCATAACTAAGCTGCAACCCCCCAGTTTCCTAATACAATTGTATTTAGGGTTACTCTCACTGTTAGTTCACTCTCAAAGCAATTTGCAAACATAAACTCAATAAATAAAATTTGCTCTGATCTCAGTAGATGCAGCTTTTTTTTCTGACCCGAATTCTATAAGGACAAAATTAGTGAAAGAAACTTAGCTGTCCTACTGGGAGATTTTTAAATGGTTGCACTTCCTAATCATCCAGTATCTATTGGTCAATCACAAAGTACAGTGGTGTTGATCCTAACTTGACAAACTGTGCAGAGTATAATCACTAATCCATGGGACTGTATGTTTCAGGCTGTTTAAACAGTTGTTAAGCATATCTGTTTTTTTGGGGTCTAAACTTTATTAAAAAAAGAAGGTTTTATTTTCAGTAGAAATGAATCATATATTAGAAACACCATGCTTATGTGTGATTGAATCCTGATTTCTTTTTAAACAAAATAAATATAACAGATATATTTATTTTGGTTTATATTAAGTTATTATTTAGCTATTCTATTCCTTGTAATACAACAAAATACACTAAATTAACACAACATGAATATATTATAATTTAGGACTGCATTAACATATTTTATTATATGCTCTGAATGTTTCTGCAGCTGAAAATAACCTAAAACCTGAGATTAAAAGCAGATGTAAATTATAATTTACCTGTTTTCCGGTATTTTCCTTGAATCGCCTCGGCAGTAGTTTCCGTTAACAACTAAAAACCGGTTTCATAAATAAGACTTCAAACCAGAGCTGCGTGTCAGCCTCAGTGAGACCCGAACTGCGGCACCAACAGAGGGAGAATCACAGCGCGCGCGGGTTATTCACCTTCACCTGAGCGAGTCTGCAGAGCTGCACCTCTGACGCAACCACACCACACTTTGGAGGACTCGTGGACGCAATTAGGACGCACTCACCTGCATTTAATGTCCTTGACTCGGTCCAACAAAACAGAACAGAATCCTGATTTTTCCTCTTTGCGGTGAATCATGAAACTGCTGCTGCTGCTGCTGTTGCTGCAGTCTCCAACTGCTCAAATATTACCACACACTCTCTCTCTCTCTCTCTGTCTATCTCTCTCCATCTCTCTCTCTCTCTCACTCACACACACACACACACACACACACACAACAGCTCTTTCCACTCATCAGTAGTGATATAATATGATATGGCAGTTGCCCAGGGCAGTATATAGAAAGTGGGGCGCACCACTAGGAGATAGAAAAAAACATAACTTGGTGATATGACTTCTCAGTTACTCTATTAATTTTTAATAGCTTTTATTCAAGTGTTGTTCATGAGAAGATGTGCCCGTTTGCTGGTGAGAGGGGGGAGTATATGCTAAGAGGTTTTGCATAGCACTGCTTTGAATTTTAAAACACTTTGACTGTTAGAACTGACAATGTTTGCAAAATCCATCCATCCATTTTCTTTTGCTTACCAGCTGTCAGCGGGTGAGAGGTGGGGTACAACATGGACAGGACACTATTTCATTCCAGCAACACGGAGACAAACAGGACAAACACACACTCACATTGGCTTTAGAGGAGAAGCCAATTAACCTAACAGTCATGTTTTTGGACTGTGGGAGGAAGCCGAAGTACCCGGTGAGAACCCACACATGCTCAGGGAGAACATGCAAATTCCATGCAGAAAGACACCGGACCTGGAATCGAACCCAGAACCTTCTTGCTGCAAAGCAGCAGTGCTACCCACTGAGCAGCCCCCTGTTTGCAAAACCCATTTTTATAAAAAGGGATGGTATGATACAGTACGGCTCCACTTCATAGTTGTTGACACTTTATTCAGGTAGTGGGTATTTTATTCTACTGAGAAATGACACAGTCCTTTAAAGGTACAAATACTTTATACTTATTAAATGCTTTAACTGAGATAAAGTCTTTAGCAGACGCTGATCCTTGTTGTTCTGTAGAGTTCAAGACTTCTCTGGGAATTTATGTTGCAGGAACTGCTTTGTTTTTACCACTAACATCCTCAATACACATGCTGAAACTCTCACATCTCCTTGCTACCACCTCTGAGCAAGCTCTGCACTGGTGGCAAATTGACCAATATCCTATTTTTCTCCAAGAATTGGACCAAAAAATTTTTTTTCAAAACATGTCTACATAAAGTTAAGTTTTCTCTTTGGTAAACTTTATTTTTTTTATAAATTAAAATTTGCACTGATAACTATACTTGTATTTGAGCATTTTGTTGTGCACTCTTTCCACCTGTGTATAGCATCAAGTACTGTACTGATGCTGTGACATGTCAATCATCTGAGGGGGCGAGAATTTGTGAGACAGAATCAGACGTTATTAGTTCAAATGTAATTATGGTACATGAGGATAACAATTTAATCTCTCTCAGAGTCATGTGCAATAGATTAAATGATGGGACACTCAACAGATACAATAATTTGTTGGAAAATTAAACATTTCTAAAAGAGCATATTAATAGGCACATAAACACAGTTTAAAAAAATCAAGTCTTTTTGTGTAGCACTTTAAGAAGTTGACCAACAGTGAGCTTATCATCTCCACTTTTTTTCATAAATGCAATATGACTGAATATATTCCCTAAACTGTCAGGTTGATGATAACAGTGCAAGAATCATTAACATAAATTGTATTGTATGCTTATTACAGAGGAATGATAAATATGTACACCTTTTTGATAGTGGTATTTCTTACTGTTTCAGATAATATTTTCTAAAAACTATTTTGGTTTTAGAGAGTGTTAACTAGAGCTGTTGTGTAATGTTGTTTCCTTGTGTTCATTTCTTAAAGGTATTGTGGAGGATTTTTTTAAAGACCCGCCTTCTCCACTTGAATAACAAAATATGCATGCAAGAGCACAAGCACATTTCTCCTCATGCATTCCCTGTTTAAAATGTGCTGTTCTTATAGCTCATACAACCTTACTGTGTCCACATACAGCGGGGACTATATAATGGACAATATACCGATTTCAGTTAACTGACCATTCGGACAGATGATCACTGCTTTTTGCTCAATGGTGACGTAACTCCGCCTCCACCTGCGCCATCTCTGTTAGTCACGGGCCGCTGTGACACCAAATCCTGTAATGTTTCGCGATGAGAGCTCTCCGCGCAAATCGTTCCGGGATATATCTGTCTCTTCTAAGGCCTTTCTTTTCTTCTCATACACTTCTTTAACACTTTTCCTCTTACGACCCTCGGCCATTTTCAAAGAACCGCGGTGAGAAAGGTGAGCTTCAATGACTGTCTGAAACCGTAGCTCACCACAGATATATGCGTGAAATGCGCTTGTACAGAAAAAGATAACTAACGGGGCGAGCATGTAGGACGGCCTTACGTAAAAATATCACCATAATGATTGACAATTAGGAGGACCACTTATTTAGATGATCCACCCGTAAAAGAAAGATTGTCCTCTATACCTTAAAAGAGAAAAGAAAATATCCAAACTAACTAAGGCCTCCATTTAATCATTAGTGTGTCGTCATTAACCACATCTGGAAAGCGATGCCTTCAAGTTAGCCATGTTAACATTACACAAATTTATAGAAATACTGAATAGAATCCATTGAAAATAGATAATGTTTGAAAGTTAAAAAAACAAAGCAATTGACATCAATCTGGCCAGGCAACAAAAATTACTCCAAGAGTGTATTAAGGACTCATGCAGGAGGAAACAAAATAAGACTCTGCATGAGTTATTGTCAGCTCTCGATTGCATTTTTTTTTGTTTTGCATTATAAGGTTTTATTAGTCCCTTGATAAATAAGCTCATCATTTAAAAACAAATTTTTGTATTAACGGGTAAATGTTTTGCTCTGAAAGCGGAGAGTCACTGGCATGAAGCCTAGCTCCTTTGTGAATGCATGGGTGAATGACTGAACATAGTGTAAAGTGCTTTGTAGTCCTCTGACTTGAAAAAAGGTGCTATATAGCTACAGTCCACTTTATCTATCCCTTAACCAATGAAGTATCTGACACACTCTACCCATTCTAAATGTTGGGTTAAACAAGGATGGTTTAGATTAACTACATTATTTAGTTTAGATACCTGTGCCACTCACACATTTTAATTAAAACTCAAAGATAAAAGATAAAGCCAAGAATTCAACTTTACAATCTATATTTTTAAAGCCTGTAAAATTATGATATATATTTCTACATAAATTAGGAAGGTGTCATTAGAGTGCTGTGGAAATGGTGTCATGTTGTCTAATTTGTGTAATACTGCCCCCTGCTGGAGAATAGACAAACAGCTCCAAATAATATACATTTTTATATGCTTAAACTAATCATCAGTGTCCTTAATAACCACGTCTTAAACTATTATTTATTGAGTTAAAATGTTAGCTATTTATTTTTACTTATTAAGAGTATTAATTTAATATTTAGAATTAAATATGTTTGTGTTTATTCACAAACCTCTATGTATTTTATTGGGATTAAGGGGTTATAATATAAAAGTTCTACCCTTCTTACACTGATACCTTAAAATGAAGGTGATGCTCTTGGCTGCTATATTATCTTTGAAAATTATATTTAAAAAAACCATCTAAGCCACGTTACTTGTCCAACTGTGGTAACCAGATGGATGTGCGCTTGCTAAACACTGAAAAATGTTCAAAGCACAGCTAAATATTGAAAGATATACACATCATCATAAGAGCTAAAAAGCTACTTTATTTTTTTTTGTTCTGTGGCTCTATATTGGATTTTAATGCTAAGATTTTAAGAAATCTCCAGTTCCTCTCTGAATCCAACTTCAGGCTGGCCTTTTCAAACCTTTCCAGAATCTTTTAAAGTTTAAAATTACACCTTATACATTAAAAAGTGTCAATAAATGAGAATTTTAGCTTTATTTTTTATAGTCAAGAATTGTGTGGCCCTAACTTGGGAAAAAACCTTGCATTTATTGAGGTGGGGCTTGGTAGCAAAATATTTGGAAAGCACTGGTGTATTATAGGTTTTCCCAGCCTTGTACCCGAGGTCACAGCCTACACTGCCAAAAGCACAAACACATGCTGTAATGACCCTAGTATCACTATGCTGCAGCAAACTGACATGATCTGAACTCGACTGTTTATGGAGTTTTATCAAGAGGAAGATCAAACGCAGGTCGGCTTAATGAAAGCATTCTGGTCTTTATAACCAGAACCACAGGGTTCTTACCTCCATGCTTCACTGCAATGATACAACTAATGTGGTATTTGGTGCATATACTACAAAGTATATAAGCATGCTTCTAAACGGGTCAATTGTTGAATCTTAAAAAACTCCTTTTACAAGTTTTATAGGATTTGCTGAATTAGTCAACTTATTTTTTGTTTTCTTTAGGAGCCATAATGTCAGCATAGGTTGTTGTTTGAGGACCCAAATGCAGAGGCTGAGAGGCAGAGGTGAGTTCTTGCAGTTTTAATGAATGATCTCAGTTAACAAAGGCAGGAATTCAACTCAAAATGTAACACAAACCAGAACCATGGAGACATCAGGGGAAAACAAGCACGAGGAGCCAGGAAAAGATGAGGAGAGACAAGATAGGACAAGGAACCAGCACTGAGGAACTGCACAGGCAGAGTATATGGCTGAGTGAACAAAGGGAGGAATAACGAGCTGATTGGGAGCAGGTGAGAACAGAGGATTCTAAGAAGAGAGCTAAAGAAAATGAAACCAAGACAAGCGGGAAACAAAGAAAAGCGTAAAAAGTCAAATATATCCCAAAACACAACAAAATAGGAATTAAACCAATAAAACTAGAACACAAAGAAAAACAGGAATCAACATGA